TGATAAAACAGAGAGGACTTTGCTTTGGGAGGGACAATAAGATTTGGCTTTGTCATTTGTGAATGCCACCAGAACAACTCTTCAGCTAACACACATCTGTAGTGAGATGTCTAAAATCCTTTTTAGTGCCTAACTTGTATCTATCTGGTTAAAAGAGCAACCCCCTCGAAAAAAATGAAGCTAATCTTGCTTTTTCTTAAATATATGAGCAGCTTCAGACTGCTTATTGAGGGCTGCAGGGAGTGCAGACACTTTAGAAAATCCCAGAGATTTCAACAGGACTTTGCATAATGAAGGCTTACGCTGCAAATCTCTTTCAGATCAACAGCAGGGTTATAGAGGAGACGGGCACAGCATCAGTAGATAGACGGTCTTTTTTGTGGGGGGAAACCCTGCGCTGAAAACTGCAGCCTCATGCAGGCAAATTCCCAGCGAAAGCTTTGCGTAAAGAACTCGTGACATGAGTGGAAGGACGTTAGCAGTTCTGCTAAATCTCATTAAGTCTTAAAGTAGCCACATGAAAAAATTAAGAAAGAGAAAACCTCTTTAAGAGGAGATTTATGCTGAAAAACTGAAATCCCTCTCACCTCACTCACTGCCTAGGAGTTGGGTGTCTCCTTTAAGCTGATTATGTGTGCTCCTTTCCATTCAGTGCAGAGGAACAGGCACCTCTGCAGGGTGAAGTGGGTTAAGGATGGTTTATTCTGCAAGTGAGGTGGATTATCTGCCAGGAGCAATTATGAAATGAAGATCTGGGTTGCTGGGCTTTTTTTGTTGTTGTTAATATTATGTTTCCCCCTGCAAATACACCATATTTAAACCAGGGGAAGTCCTCTGGCCAGTGCTGTCCAGCAGTCTGAGAGAGATGGACACCCTTTCATCCCATCCTCTCCTAAATCTTAAAGACTGTTAAAGTGAGCGAGGGACAGGGCTGCATCCTTTTCAGAGTCCCACCACCTGCTTTTGCCTGACCCTAAGCATAGGTCTAAATTCATCATCCAGCTTCTGTCTCGATTCCCTGGAGAAAGGTGCTGCTGGAGGGGAAGCACCTCATCTCACCTCATTCAGCTGCTTTAGATGTGTGTGGATCCATGTTTTGGAGGCATCCTTCTTCCCTCCCTCACCTTCCACTGACTCTCTTTTGGGCTCACCCAGCTGTGGTTGTAGCAGATGAATCACAAAGGGCCTGCAGACCAACACTAGCTCCTTCCATATGCATATTCAGGAGCTGATGTTGACCCATTTGTCCCAGCAGCCACAGCACACAGTACTCCAGCTCAGGCTCTCAGCTTGCTCCTTCCAGGTCAGATCTGCTCACCTGACGGAGTACACGGAGTTCTTACCACTTTTCTCTCTGTGCTATTTTCTGCCCTTCCCAAGTCATCGGGCAATGACAGCCAAGCTGGGATCTGGTCTGCCTTGTGCTAGGGATATGATGAAGGAACAAATCCTGACCTTCATGAAATCCCAGGGATGTCACTGAGGCTGGGACTTGACCTCAAATTCCAGCTCCAGAACTTCTGCTGCTGGTGGTGTCAGACCATGCAGGAGACGCTAACTCTTGTGTGAGCAGGGGCTCATTAGTGAAACCGGTCTGTTCTTTGAGTGCTGAAGAAGCAATAAACAGAGGTTCTACCCAACCAAACAGGTACCTCTTGGGGTAAAATCAAAGAATCATAGAATGGTTTGGTTTGGAAGGGACCTTGAAGACCATCCAGTTCCAACCCCCCTGCCATGGGCAGGGACAACTCCCACCAGACCAGGTTGCTCAAAGCCCCATCCAACCTGGCCTTGAACACTGCCAGGGAGGGGGCAGCCACAGCTGCTCTGGGCAACCTGTGCCAGTGTCTCACCACCCTCACAGTAAAGAATTTCTTCCTTATATTTAATCTAAATCTACCTACTTTCAGCTTGAAACCATTACCCCTCGTCCTATCACTACACTCCCCATCTTTCCTGTAGGCCCCCTTTAAGTACTGGAATGACACTGCAAGGTCTCCCTGGAGCCTTCTCTTCTTTAGGCTGAACAACCCCAACTTTCTCACACAACCCAAACTCTCACAGCCTGTCCTCACAGGGAGATGCTCCATCCTTCTGATTGTCTTCATGGCTGTCCTCTGGACCCACTTGAGCAGGTCCATGTCTTTCCTGTGCTGAGGACCCCAGAGGGGTCTCATGAGAGTGGAGTAGAGGGGTAGAATCACCTCCCTCAACCTTCTGACCACACAGCTTTTGATGCAGCCCAGGACGCGATTGCCTTTCTGGGCTGTGAACGCACATTGCTGGGTCATTGTTGAGTTTCCTGCAAGGCATTTTCTTTCTTCCACCCACCCAAAAGATATGGAAACCAGGAAATTAAGCATTAGTTTGATTGCATCCCCTTCTACTAGTCCTCGCAGTGCTCCCCTACTCACTCCAACCACAAAAGGCAAGATCAACCCTTCCTGTCACCATGCTCCTAAACATCTCTGGAGGAGATGCTCTAGGTTTGAGTTAAGACTCCAGTGTATTCACTCTTCTTATCGCAACAACTATCTTAACATGGGAAGAAGGAGAAAAAAGCAAAACTTCCTGGTAGCCATTCCAGTAAATACCTTTCTAAAGCTTCTTAAATAGGAGAAGGAGACATTAGCTGACCCATTTGGAGAAAACTGGAGCCTGGCTTGGGTTCCTGGACTGGGCTTGGCATTGCAGACTTAAAAGCAGGGAGGACTGGGGCTTGGAGGAGGCATGTGTGCCATATAAAATGGTAAACTGACCTCGTTCTAGCACTGAATAAACCTGTAAGAGACTGTGTGAACCGTATGGAAATAGCTGGAGTCTAGACATATCAGCACAGGCTGTACCTGGGTTTATAAGCCCTGCTGTGGGCTGATTTTCCCGTGTGCACCCCTTAGTGAGACATTGGATACTGCCCCTGTTTAGAGACAGGACTGGCCTCTTCCTGTGCAAGCCACGCTCACATAGACACGGTGAGCCAGGAGACACTTGACTTGATTTTTAAACACGCTGCCTTCCTAACAATATCCATCTTCCTTTGGTTTCTGCCTGCTTTAAGGGAAATCTTTGATGCTCCCTTTCATAACGGCTCCTCTCAGCATTTAATTTCCTTTTACATAATTATGTGTACTGGCTGGGAGGAGGAGGAAGATGGAAGCACCGAACAGGCACGGAGCTCTAGGAAACCTTGCACCTGAGTCAGGAGCGCTGAGCAAGCTCCGCTGCTTGTATGCATCAGCAGTGCCCGCTGCTCAGCATGCAGCCCTGAGATGCGCGACCGCATCTCCGGCACAGGCAGGGGGGAGGCAGGGAGAAGGTGCACCGGGGACCCTGAGAGCTCGGCTGCTAGAGCGTGGCAGGCAAAGAGCCCTCCAGGGCTCGGGGAGGCAGGCGGGGACGTGCACTGCCTTGGAAGAGACCGCAGCCTGCTCGGTGTGGTGGAGGAACGGAGGAACTGCATAGCTGAAGAAGGGAGGGGGGCGGGGGGGGGGATGCAGCTTGTTCACTGGATTAGGCAGCCATGCCTGGAAGTGGCCAACTGAAAGAGCCACAGATTTGAAAGCCTGGAGGGATTATTCGGCTGTGTCGTCTGACTTGCAGCGCAACAGAGGCCAGCAAACTTCACCCAGTGCTTTCTGTAGCGAGTCCAACAATCTGCATAACGCCCTGGCAAGCCTCTCAGGTTGTGATTTATATATTTTCAGTAGGCTTAATAACGTTGGGAGCGGCAGGAAAAGGGTGCTGGCAAATGTGAGCAGTTCTAGCTAGAGTTGTAGAAAGGCATGTTCATCATGTCAGCGCTTTGGAGGCCTGCAGAGCTTGTGACGAGAGCTTTCAGAAAAAGACTGCATAAATAGGAGAAGGGAGGCCTCTATAAACAACTGTGTTGGACGTGCTTAAAGTATGGAGGAAAGGAAAAGCAGTCTGACTTACTGATGCTGTAGATAGTGGTGACCTTGGTCCAACGAGCAAAATTTAACCCTGAAGAACTGCCCAGTTCTAATCTCAGCTCCAAGAAGCTCCTCAGGTCTGTCAGAAATGGCATGCCACAAACAGGCTGTCTTTGGGAAGCTGAGCATCATCCCTGGTACGTGAATTGAGCAGGGGCTGAATAACCCAGCAGCTCATCAGCTGATACCCCTGTTGGTCCTTGGAAAGGACAATTTTCCCTCGAGCTGGTGACCCTTAGGCAGCCAGCGTGCTCATGGGCATGGGCTGGTAGAGCTGTTCGCCCCAGGGCTGGGACAGGGGCATATGCCTCTCAGCTGGGGTGCATGCCCCGTGCTCAGGACATCACCGCAGCAAAGGACATCAGAATTGGGAAACTACCCTCCGTGGTTGCTTCCAAGCCTCTGCTCATCTATCTACCTTTGCAATGCTGATTGCACTATGTCTCTGTCCCTACGCAATCCCCTACACTGCCTTCCCCCCTCTCTTTTCCTCGACTTGCTGAGAACCATGGTACCAAGGACTAAACCTTAATTCCTGAGCACTCTTCAGGAAAGGTCCTACAGCCTTTAGCTGTTAAAAACCCCCTGTGCTTCACACCATCAGAGCATTGCACGGGCATTGAGCTGCTTGTCCTCACAATACAAATCTGGCCAGTTTTATCATCCTGTCTATGTAAGGAGGGAAACCGAGGCAGGGAATGATTGTGTTCACCAAGTGCCAGGCGGCAAATGAATGGTGGCACTTGCCACAGCAGCAGAGACTGCCTATCCCCTTCCTGATAACACCAACATTTCTTTAGACTGGACTGTGTGCGGAAGAGATGTATCTTATCTTTTCATTGATACTGGTATTTTTCTTAGCGGAACAAGCAGAAATTTTACCCAGCGAACGCAGCGCGGAGCTGGAATGAGATTTGTCCCAAGTGGCAGCCCCTTACACACCAGGTTGCGTAGGGCGGACGGTTAGCAAAACATCCATCGGCAGCTGAGCATGGGATCAGAGGGGGGAGGCCGGGAGGATGGGGAGGGGGGGACGAGGGAGCCACTTACATGGTAATGTTTCTGCACGGTTCTTTTGGATCATTATGCAGAGCTGTAGCACCAGTTGAGGGGCGCTCTCGAGGAAAGTTTCCAGGAGGCGCAACATATTTACGTCTGCATATTCGTACATCATAGCCCAGTAGAAACGCCGCTGGTGTTCCTTCCGCCTCTGGCTCTGGATCCCCAGGTACATAGTTCGGATATACCTGCGGGAAACAGGAGGAAAAGCTGCGTGTGAGACGTGCATCAAAACCTGAGGAGGATGGGGCTGTGGGCCAGTTGTTTGGGAAGAGGGAGGTTGGCGGAGGGAAAGGGAATCTGGGGTAGCCACAGGTGTCTACGCCGTTCTAACACTAACTCCTGCAAGATCTGAGGACACTTTTGTATTGCAGGAGTGGGAAACCTTTGACTTGCACCACCCAAACGTGAAGCGGAAGGTTAGGAGATGCTCACGAAACACTTGCACAAGAAAACAACTCCCTCACTTTATTTTCATGACGAGGAGAAGCTACTTGACAAATACTGGTTATGCCACTTGGCAGTGGCTTGACAGACCGTCTAAGCACCTTCAGCACTCCAGCAAGGAGCCTCCCTCATGCACCCCAGAGATTTGACCCTATTTCATTACAGGTGGAGCAATGAGACATCACCTTCACCTTCAGACCCACAAATGCAAACAGCCACAGCTTGCCACTGGTTAGCTATTGAGACTTTGGGCAATATTGGACGAGAAGGAGGTGTCTCATGCATGAACAGGTACTGCTCTATCGCCTCTGTTTCCATATCAGGTCTGCAAGGAGACCTTCAAACCTTACCCTGAGGACACAAATTCCCTCCAGGGAACTTCTGGCCAACCTTTGTAAATGGAGGTGATCCAGTCAGGGTAGCACAAGGTGCACAGATGTCACAGGACTCATGGCATTTAAGAAAGGAAGCATCTTCTAACAGGGTCCTTTCTAATGCTTGCTGATATTAATGATCTAATATTGGGTCTTTTTCCTTCTCATCCTGAGCAGTGGCTGTAACCTTGTGCTCTGCAATTCAGGCTGGGATTTGTTTCACCTAACGCCGACGCTAAAGCTGGTCATCTGAGCTAGTCAATGGATAGAAATGTCCCCTCCCGGGACTGTTCATCTGTCCCGCCTCAGATGCCAGCATGACAGTGGGATGAAGTGCCTTCTGGAGGCTCTGGGAGGGGCTCACAGCACAAACTGGGGCTTTGCCAAAACGATTAGATCATTCTTTGCCACTCGGGGCGAGATTGCACAGCGAGGAAGAGCAGGAGGAAAGGACATAAGCCTCGACAGCCTCTGTATCTCCAAATTACATCCAGGGACAGGGTGCTGGGAGAGAAGCAGAGGTACCTCTGCAAGCCCTGTCCTTTCTCAGCCACCTCGTCATTCCTTCCCCTTCGCAGTTCGCAAGCTCAGAAGATGAAAAATCCCGAAAGAAGACACAAGGACACAAAAATGACGCAGGAAAGCCACCAGATGGGGCTCGACACTCGAGAAAAATGCTACGCCAGTCACATAAGACACTGGTGACACTGGTGCAACATCCCTAGCAGAGCCCGAGCGGGGTGGAAATGCCCGTGGAGCCACCTGCTCCTCTATGGAGACCAGTCCTCCTCTCACCCAACCCATGCCCAACGCCACCGTCTGTACCCAGCATTTCCCTGAAGCTGCAGGATGACACAGGAATCCTGCCTTCTCCTCATGCATACAAGAAATTAAGTAAATGTAGTTTAGCTTGGAAAGGCAAAGTTGGGGAGAGGGAGTCGTAATGGCTCAAGGAGAAAGGGGAGAAAGGGAGCATGCAACTGGTTTTTATAATATCAGCGACGCAGGGCCACCAAAACCCAAGGTGTTGGTGCCCATAGGGTGCTGCCCGTAGGCAAAGAGAGCATCATCACCTCTGCCAAACTCTTTCCAGAGAGATATTCACCAAATATATGCTGTAATCTTGCACGGCCTCCCCTTCTCAGGAGCTCCCATTAAAAAAACATGAAACCTAAATTCATCTTCTGATGGTTAAGCAATTTCTCAGCATCCCAGCCACAGACAGAGAAGAATTTATTCATTTTACCTGTTTGCACATAGGTACTATGTAAACCCTTCTTTTCTCCAGCCTAAAAAACCGCCAATTTCTTTCAGTCCCTTCTCGCAGCTCATATTTTCTAGACCTCTACTCTTCTGCATTGCTGTCCCCACCAGCTGTCTCCAGTTTTTGGTTATTTTTAAGACTGTCTTTACTTTTCCAAGCACTCCAGGTTGGCAGAACCAAACTATAACAAAGGCATTGAGTCAGAAAATAATAATAAGAAACTAATAGAAGGGACAGCACGTCCTGCAATGACATCTCCTTGATCTGTAGGGATTCACCACCATCCACACAGTTTAAGCATGAATGTTTCTAACTGGCCACAGTGAGAGGATGTACCCCCTATTCAAGGAGGCAGCATGCATAAAAGAACATAAAAATGTGTTGGATTAATATAATGCTGGAGGGGAATAATGCTGATCCTGTCTCCATCGATGGCCAGAACAATGGCGATGACAGCAACATCAAATTCTCTTGACTGTTGAGCCCTCAGCAAAGATCATCTGTATTGTGCCTCTTCCATAGATGGGGAAACTGAGTCATGGAACACCAAAAGGCTCTCCCAAAGCCTTTTGGCATCAGAACCCAGATCTTTTAGTGCTGTCCACAGCCTCTAAACACCGCAACACAAATCTGTGAGTGGAGTCCCACTCTGCCTGCTGATGGTCCTCCATCCAGGGTGGGCATACTTCCTTGAAACCGTAAAGCCCAGCCCTGCCTAATCTGATCTGTGCTGGAAGACCCAGATGGACAAATCTGTCCCTATCCGACTGCCACATGGGACTGTGACCTCAGAAATCCCTTGGCATACCATTGGCCAGCAAAGTGTCAGAGCCTCCTAAGTGAGCAGCACGTAAGTAAAACAGCTCCAAGGACCATTCGCAGCTGAAGGGAAATGAACTTCCCTTTGTACTCTCTTTTCAGTCCATGCAAAAATATGGTGCTTTCTCTTCAGCATCTTCCAGACTCAAACCTGATAAAGAGAGGAAAGGGAGGACTAAAAACCCATTCCTCCTTGATGCCAGTCAATTGTCAGTTTTCAGCAGAGAAAGCACAAGAGTAACTGGGAACAGCAGTATTTCTACCTGGTAGGCTTTCAACGAATAATAAATACCTGTCTAATTAATCAATATAAAATTTCACCCAGCTGTAACATTGGTAATGCTTAACCCTACTTTTGAACACAAAAGTACAGCACTGGTATAAGCAGTTTTATTCCAGTATATCTGTTTCTTTGTGGTATTTTATTTATTTGTTTGAGGGCTTTTTCCTACCTTTACTAACACTGGTTAAGTGTAGACAAACTCTGAAGGAAAAAAAAAAATCAATGTCATTTTGCCTGAAATTTGTTGTTCTCGGTCAAGCTGGTAGCAAACAGGATTCTATAATTAGACTTTCAAATCCATATTCAGGCCTGATCTTCAATCTTTAGCAACACGATGCTTCCTCTTATGTCAGTGAAAGCCATTCACCACTCTGCTTTTGAAAATCAGGCTAATTTATTTATTTAAGAGCTTAATTTTGGAAACAGGAGCCTAACTTTGGGCTTTTTATTTTTTGAATGCTGGCTATTTTTATATACGAGTGTGTGTATTTGTGTGTATGCATGTATTTTTAGTTCTAAGTCCCATCATGGCTTCAAGAGCTAGAACTAATTTGGCGTTGGGAGGGGGATTCGGGGTGATTTTCTTTAAATGCACAAAGGATTGGCTGTCCCCTCTGCACTGGCAGGGTTCCCAGAATTCCTGTTGGTATAATTACCCTCACGCTTATTTACTACGTATGTCGCAGCAGCACACAAACTGCGCGGGGCAAAGTCACCGCTGTCCCTGCGCCAAAGCACGTTTTTAAGAAGCCAAAGCTATTGGCTCTAGAAATGTGGTCAAATAACCTTTGGAGAGAGCCCCAGGATGCCACCAGGAGGGAGAAGAAGAGGTGCTCCTACTGTAAAATAAACCAACCCTGCCCTAAAGTGCTATGGAAAAAGATGCTTCATGTGAATGACAGGGACTGCTCCGCTGTCTCAGCAAGGACTGTAGCAGAAATGTCCAGGGATAAGATTATGGAGTCAGAGGCTCTGCCTGTATCATTAAACAAAGCAGACCAACACGTACCTTTGTCCTCGGCCAACTGGCATGACTTGACTCCACGTGGCTATGTCCACGCTGGTTGGCCTTGGCCAAAATTGCCAGAGACTGTGCTGACAATTTAACAGGGTGAACTATTACAGGATCGTGCCTGCGCCTTGGCACTGCTCGATTTACAGAGGTGGCTCTGAACATCACCAGCAGAAAGTGTAGGAGGATGCCTCAGGCAACAGGCTGGCTTGAAATGAAGAGGCTGCTAATGTGTAAGAGGGTTGCAGAAGCGTGGAAAAGCACGTCAGCACAGCCCCTGGGCTATGTTTTGAGGAAAGGAAAGAAAAGTCCTGATGGCCTGTCCCACACAACCACAAGCTGACCAAGGCCAGGAAGCTCAGACTATATCTACAATAGTCAACAAAGGCCAGGGGCCTGATCACTTTCCTGAGGCCAATGGACCAAGACTGACCACAGAAATGAACTACCTTTTCCTCCAAAACCAGGTAGCTGCCTTCATACTCCATATCAGGAATGATCCCTGGCCCCTGTGGAGTTATGGACCCTGCCCAGGTTCTGATATACTTGGGAGAGTGCTAGTAAGCCTTGACCAATCTAGTGATTATACTAATAATTTAGCAGCATGATGAAATTACAGTGCCCGTGAGCAGGCCTTGAAATTGCCTGGTGTACTAGTATATGTATACAGAAAGACAGAAAGGAACAGGATTTGAGGTACTCAGCCCACTCCCAACAGCCCCAGGTTGGGAAACTCTTCTTGACTAAGCAGAGCCAAGCCTACTACTGCTTTCAGAGAAGCAAACCCTGGCTTGAAAAACAGCAGGACACATTTGAGAAGTCAGAAACAGACCTGTAGGGAACGGAGGAGCTCAGAAAACGAACTCTGCTGAGTAGGTTGCAACTTACACCTGCAGCACCTTACATGGCCCTTTGGATGAACACGATTTATCAAGGAAGGCAACAGGTACAACACCCTTCCCAGCATCTCATTAACCTCCTCCAC